GGCTGCAGCATCAGGAGGCAGCCTCTGAGAAGTGCAGCACCAGCGCGTACACACCGCCTTCACTGTGTTCCCCACTGCAGGCGTGTGTGTAGAGGCGTGTGTAGGCGTGTGTAGAGGTGTGTGTGGTTGAAACTTAGCAACGTTTCAACCACACACACCTCTACACACACACACACACACACATCGAACGGCCCGATTATTCCCCCTATTACTCGTTGCATGAAGGAAATGTCCGGTCACAAAGGCGCATGATGTGTATGTGGTAGTGCTCTGCTCAGCTCCGCTGTGTGTGTGTATGTTCGGTGTGTTTGTGTGTGTCCAACAACGGCATTTGTTTTCAAATTACCAAAAACAGTAATTTACACACATCAGGCCAACGCCATAGGTATGTGGGTGTTCCCAAAATAACGTAGTTTAATCTTAATCTCGATGTAGTGCTAAATGCTGTCGGAGTGCACCGGAACGAACGCCCCGGTATGACGTTATTATTGATGGCAAACAAGCCCAGGGGTCTCACTGACAGATTTCAGTTATATCAATATGTGTACAGTGGTCCTAATTTGTTTTAATTGTATCCTGGTTTTAAACGTTGTTAATATGTTTTGGATGCATATTGGTATTTCTTCAGGCTGTTAAATACAATTAGCCTCTGTTGCCACCTGCTGGTGAGTAAATATTCAAATCAGTTAAAATTGACAACCGGTCCGCACATTTTTTTTAATGTATCTGCCGGTCCTTGGCACAATAAAGGTTGGGAACCCCTGCTGTAGGTAGATCTTTTGGACTTGGTCATTTTAAAAGTAGCTCCCAAGCTGAAAAAGTGTGGGCACCCCTGCATTAAAGAGACAAAACTAAACAGAAGCCAGACTTTGTGACAATGTCCAATATTTGATCAAGTCAAAAGATAAAAGTGAGTGGTGCTGGTGGTCCTCCTCACCAGCTGAAGGTGGTGTTCAGGATCTGAAGGAGCAGCTGGTAACCAGCAGACATCAGCTGGTGCTCCTGAACATCCGTGGCAGGTCCGTCCACCACACCGTTGTTCTCAGACAGCATTGTCTGTGAAGAAATGCACCAATTTCATACAAACCTGAAAACATTTGATAGAAAACTGGAAGGTCTTCATTCATACGTACAGATTGTGTTTGTACCTGGAAATGGTTGTGACAGTTCTCCAGGTGGGAGCAGAGGGTGGGCAGCAGCTGGACGCAGTAGGAAGCGATGTCCTTGGAGCTCCTCTGTTGTAGATGGGAGAAGCCCACGCTCTTATCGGTCTTTGCCTGCAAAAGAAAAATTGCAATTAAGTTTCAGCTCTTATAAGCCTGGTTGTTACAGTTTAACACAGCTATTACTAAATATCATTGACGTGCAAAGCTTCTTCAACTAAGGAGAGAACTCAGAAAATGTCTTCATTATATCTGCCTTTAAAGAAACATCTCAGAATACAATAATTCATTTTGCAAACTGTTGTTCCCAAGACACTGTTGAACATTTATAAGCCCAGCACATCCTCACATTTTCATTCTCTGATTTACATTCATCACTGCATATGTTAGCTTCTCTTTGTACCTTGAAGAACGGGGTCCTCTTGGCAGGGGCAGCTGTCAGACTGAACTCCAGTTTGCGCAGCATGTCCTCCAATAGGAACACCAGCTCAGCGGGACCCAGCAGAACCTCCTGCTGCACCTTAGGCATGTAAGAATAGCAGAGGAGATGTGTGTTTTCATCTATGTGGTGCACACGTTTCAGCAATAGCAAAGACATTGATATAACTACATTTCACATTTGTATCTTTCTCTGTTTGGAAACACAGCTGGTGTACCCTGACTTAAACTACCCTACCCCTGTAACTACCTGGTCTGCCTCTCTTTTATGCTAATAACACTTGTGTACAATATTCATTTTAATGTCATGTGCAATCAAACTTTTGTTTACTTATCAAGCTAAATGTAACTAACTTTACATTGTATTCTATTAGCCACTGGTGTTAGTATTCATTACTTTACGCTATATATTTATTTTCTTGTTTATATCTATATTAGGCTGTAGTAAAAATAATTACGTTTCCTATTTTACAAGAATGACCTTCCTATTACTGCTATTCTATGTTGCACTGGTGTAAGTATTACTTCACATATACTTTGTATGTATTGCTCTGATGTGTATTCTTATTCTTGTATTTTTAGACAATCCCACAAGAACATTTTCTCCGGGATGAATAATATAATCTAGAAATATTGTTTTCCAGGGATTTCAAAATAATCTAAACAAAAAGTTGAATTGCTCTGTTTACCTTGGTGTGGAGCTCAGAGTCCAGCAGAGAGCGGGACAGCAGGCCACACTGCAGCACGCTCAGCACCTCCATGTCCAGCTCCCTGAAGAACTGCCTGTAGGACACCAGACTGACCCCCGGCCGCACCTCCTTCTCCTTCTCCTTCTCCTTCTCCTTCTCCTTCTCTGGTTGCTCCTTTGACAAGAGAAAGAGATTCACCTTTTTAGATTGGCTTCAATAAATAAAAAGAATGAATACGAGAGTTAAAAGATTACCTGCTGAGTTTTGTCTGCTTCAGTCTCCTCAAGCTGAGAGCTGCTCTCTGAAGAATTCTTCCCAGGAGCCTTCCTCTTCTTTGCTGTACCATCTAAACACATATGGGAGTTAGACATTTATGTAAGTATGTATTCTTTCATTCTGACTATTTAGTTTTATTAACATGAAGTCAAATATATTCGGATGGGCCTGGTTACCCTTCTTAGTCTTCACAAGAGGAGCAGGGCTGAGTATCACCCCTTCTGGGCTTTCTCCATCGAAGTTGGCAACAGGTGGAACGTAACCAGGTGTTCCTGAGACACACATTTAAAGAATAAAAGTAGATTATTTAAACAGCTTTAGGACAATTCACTCGTTATGAGAAAATGGATAGAATGCGAGGTTCCCAGGGTTTTTTCACTTAACATAAATACAACTTTGCTAACATTTGATTTGTTTAATAATGTAGCATTTGTACAATGTCCATTTATTTATTTATAGTTAACAATTATGATAATGGTAAAAATAAGAAAACAAACAAGAAAAAAGTTGAGATAAAAATAAAATAAAAATAGATTAATAATAAATAATAATAAAATAGGCCTGTATGACGGTGCACACACTGGCCTGTATCGATGGATGACAGCTCACCTGCCAAAGCCCTCTCCAGCAGAGTCTGAAGGTAGGTGATGTTCTGCAGACGGGTCATCACTTTCATCTTCATCTCAGTTTCCTTTTGTCTACAGAATGCATTTACGACCTACCAGAAAACACAGCTTTAGTCTCAGATCTCCTGCTTTTAAAAAAGGTGTTTAACAAATCGCCTGCAGTTACCTCTCTGAACCAGTTGATGGTGTGGAACAGCAGAGTACAGAGGAACTCCCTCTCAGCTTTTGACAGGCTCTCCATTTTATCTACCACATCCATGTCCGTGAGGATCAGAGGGCAACCTGTGTTCCAGCAAATATAAAACCCACAGAAATGATTTGACAGCCATTGAAACGAGAACAAACTGATCTGGTCTTTTGGGGCGAGCAGAGAAATTCTTCTGGTGTTCTTTACATCTGTGATTTTATCTATTCTACAGTACTGCAATACTACCTGGCATAAGACAGCTTTCAAATCAAAACTGCTCCAGCAGTTAAAAATCTGCTCAAAGATTGTTGGTCAACCCTGTCAGACACTTTATGAGTCAGCCTATCATAACAACCTAATAAGGCTGTCCAACATCATCTCAGACCCAAACCATGTTCTGAACAGCGAATATGAACCGCTACCTTCTAACCGGAGATACAGGTTCCCGCGATATAGGGCTGAACGATTAATCGATTTTAAATCGAAGTCGCGATTTTAAATGATGCGATTATCAAATCGCAAAGCCTGCGATTTTTTTTAACATTTTTTTCTTGTGTGTCAGTCATCCACACCAATCAGAAGTGCTGTGCGCCACATGTACCAGCCATTGTTAATCAGTCAGAAGTGGCCCATGATAGAAGGTGATAGACAGATTGATCCAATCATCTGCCAAGTATTTTTGAAAGTGCCTGCCCTTTCCAAATGGCTTCCAATGGAGCTTTAGATGGTTTGGTGAAACAAACCTGAGTCAGGTTAGTAATGCTCCATCACATGTTTTACATCTATTACAGGGTGAATCTTGAACTGAAGCTTGA